ATTCCCACTCCATTCTTCCCCTTTATGTGCTGAGCCTTGACTCAAGTCTGGTGGTGTCCTAATCACCATCCAGACTCAGTTCTGACCTCTAAGGTGTGCTCTTAATTTGTTTGGACCAAGCAAATGGTCAGGGGTGTGCCAGTCTATACCCATGGCTGAGCATGACCACCATTTGCTATGGTTCCCTAATCCCTCTCTATTCTAAGTTCTACCCCCTTTGGTAAGCCATCTTTGAGACCCTGGAGCTTCCTTTGAACTTGGATGCCTGAGGGCTGGCTATTCCATACTACACTATTCTGTTCTAATTGTTATCCAGAGTGCAAGCACTGCCTGGAGCCCTTGAGGCTCCTTGGAACTCTGAAACACTTTGGATAAGAGAAGGCTTTGGGAAATCTAGAATCCGAAATTGTTTAATCACATTTTATTGGACACTAAGGTTGCATAAGGCTGTTTGGATCTAGCTGTAGACTTTGATGTATTTTACTTTCCTTTTCCTCTTTTCTGGTCTGTAATAACTTTTTGTAAAAAGAACTCGGGGAGTATTAGTGAAAGGGTGTGGGAGGGGTTTACTTTATTGCATCAAATAAAAAGGGAAGATATCATGCCTTAGAATTTTAATTTTTTTCTCACCTAGATACCATGCCTATATATTTAACATTTAAATCAGTCGCCCAGATATCATGCCTATAGGATTAACGCTTAATCATATTACAAGTCATTAGAAATCTTGCATATAGGATTTAATGTTTATGTAATCAATTGCATACGGGAACCATGCCAATAGGACATGCATATGTGTTAGGCAAACTATAGCGCAATCAAATAATCATTCTTTTATCAATTCAGTAACAGGTCTTAAAATCAAACATAGATGTCATGCCTATAGGAATTCGTTTCAAACTCGCCTGATTTGTTTATATAATAACAATCTGTTAACTGGCCCTTAACGTTTAGTGCCACATTTTTAATAAAAACTCTTATAAACCTGTAATGCTTTTAAATTCTGCAAATCTGCATCTTTCTTCCGAAACAGTTCTTTTAACCTTCTGCCTAAATGTTTACTCATCTCTTGAGACTATCTTTCAAAAACAGTCCTTCAACTCGTTCTTTCTTTTAAGGTATTCTCGTTTTTTTTAAAACTCTTCCACAATTCTCCTGTGTTTTGCTCAAACAGTCTGGCTATTTTGAAACTCATTTCTGAACTTGCCGCAGTCCTTATTTTCTTTCTTTAACTCTTCTGCATTAGTCCATTCTTTTCTAAAAACAGTACTTTCTGAATAACTCGCTTAAAACACTTCAATTTCTAACAATTGGATCCGAGTTGCCTAATGTAGACTTTTTTATCTAATTCTATGTGTTAAACTAGTCCGTCCGCCACTTAAGTTTTAACTTAAAGACCAAATCAGTATGTGTAAGGCATGCTAAACTAAATGTTATCTGATTTACGGGATTTTTGTGAGCCTTACATGTTTTTTAATCCCCTCTACTTGTTATGTGTTTTGTTTGTTGAAACTAGTATTGTGTCCTTTAAACCCCATATATGCCTCTCTCCCTTTTCTTCCCCTTTAGGATTTGAAGTCCTAATACCCCGGGCCTGATAGGTTGGGAGGGGTACTAGTATGCAATAAGTAAATGAGACTAATCACATTTAAATACCTTAACAAGGTGGGAAGGGTAGAATATGAAGATGATGACCGGTGCACTAATATCACGTGCGACCCCTCTCCTGAGGAGTGTGCGCCGAGTATTGCATTGATGTGATCCATATTGTATTTAAACCTAGGACCTCTTTTCCTTTTCTTTCCTTTAATTTAGTTTCTTTTCATCAACTCCTTTTCTAAAGACTGTCTATTCTTCTCTTCCTTTTTCAAAGCTTTAAACTTATTTTGTTATTCTTATGTGCAAAACTTTATTTGCTTTCTTCTATCTCTTTAAAAGTCACAATTAAGCATGGTCGGGAACCACACTAGTGGATCTTGTGGGGTGCCTAATACCTTCCCCTCGAGATAATCTCAAGCCCTTACCCGAACTCTGGTTTTCTTTCAAATTACTTCTTCTCTTTAAAGTGTCCTAATGCACTATAATCATTAGGTGGCGACTCTCCAAATTCCAAAACCCAATTCCCACAAAGGGAATAAGAGTTGTCTTTCCCATAATATCGTAAACCCGATTTCGCTTTTTAGAAAAAGGGGGCGTCGACAACGAGGTGGTGAGGGTAAATTCTGTCATGTCCTTGTTACCAAAATTTCTCATCGACTACACTATTCTCCAAAGAAAGGGATGAACCTGCTCCAACGTTACTTGTTCTACAAAAATCAAGCATGATCCGTTCCGGGGAACCTGGTGCAAGAACATGAATATACACACTCAAGAATCCCTTAACACATGTCATGAAAGTGCATATTTGTGCTAATTGTTGAAAATACTGTTTTAACTAAAGTAGCTTTAATTGTGTTTTCCTTTCCTGCTTATTCTACTTGAAATTTAAGCCTACTGTTAGCTTAGAGAAGCATGTTTAATTGACTTAATTGCCTTATTTCTTGAACTGACTTATTTGTATTATGTGAAGCATGTTAAGTTAGAATTACCTGTTTTACTTTGGTACGAAATTGAGTTTAATTGAGTATTCTTTATGTTATCGCTGTGTGTTTTTCTTTGGGACTACGGGGCGGCATTCCAGGAGATCCCATGTACATATTCTATGATATGAGCTGAGGTGCGGGATACAGAGAGATCCTTAGCACATGTATTGAGAATATCAAAGGATCCTCGGGATACCAGGAAATTTTTGGGATACCAAGTGATCTCTGGCATATAATAAGGGTACTAAGAGATCTTTGAGATACTGGAAGATCCCTGGTTATTGTCTTTGTGAAGAGTTGTATTCCTGGTGATTGTTTTTCCCTATATTTCATTTGTAGTTATCCTTATTATCCTGTATTAATTCTTATAATTATCTTTCAACTGTACTGCTTTACTTTATGTTGGAACGCTTTATATTTTATTTAATCTCAGTAGGTCCCTGAACTTCCTCATCATTATCCGACCGAGGTTAGCCTTGGCACTTACTGAGTGCCACTTTGGTGTACTCATGTCCTTTCTATGCATGTCTTTCATGTGCAGATCCAGGTACCTCCACTCAGACTTGTCACGCTTGAGACGAGGCGCTTGTAGAGACTCCGAAGTATATCTGCCACGCCCACAGACCGAAGAGTCCCTTTTTACTCTCCCTTTTAAGTATTAGCCCTTCTGTATTTTCTTTCCTTTGTAATATATTTTGGAGTTAGATACTTGTAGACATTCAAAGGCTTGTGATCATGAGATTCCGGGTTTTGAAAAATGTATTTAATTTTCTAGAGTTGATGTTGTGTATGCCATGTGGTATTTTTAAGCACTATTTTATTTCACTATTTCATTTTTTTAAATATTTCTTTTGCAACTTGATTTATTTTCCGCATTGTTAGGCTTACCTAGTCGTTGAGACTAGATGCCCTCACGATAGTTCACAGAAGGCGAACCGGAGTTGTGACAAATGTCGTGAGTGCGGGATGTAGAATGGACCATGTCGTCTTTCGATACCTTGTCTTTTGGACGGGATGTTGGTCAGCTTGACCGCGGTGATCAGATTTTGACCAATATAGAGATAACCAAAAGTAATCCTGGATAATCAAAGGTAATCTTGGAATAAAAATTTTGTTGCGCCTTATTCCTTGTTTACTTACTAATTCTAGGATAAGTTATCCATCGATTAAAAATAGTACTAGGATAGCTTATACCTACCAAAGAGTGGAATAGTAATCCCAAAATAAAACAGTAAAATTGACAATCCCAGAATTAATACAACATATCAAATATTCAATAAGAAATAATACCGAGATAACTATTAACCCAACATATAACAGTAAAATTGATAATTCCAAGATTAGTAAAACGTACCAAACAGTCAATGAAAAATAATATTAGAGTAACTAATTCAAGCATAACTTGTCCTCGAACCAAACGACCTCTTAGAAGCTCTATGAAGCTCGGGATTATATATAAAAATACTTCATCATTTATGAAACCATTTTAAAATAGTTATTTACATCCATTTGGAAAAAACTTGAAAATTTTGAAACTACATCTGAAAAAAACATTCAGGTAGATTCTAACATGACATTAATGGTGGCAAATGTTACATCATAATCAAATTCCTTCTTGTTAATAACATGTTCCATGACCAGGGTTTAGCCTTTTGTTTTCTAGTGCGCATTGGCTAGGCCTGTTCATGGATCGAATTGCACCGAATTTGGCATCTTTCGAATCATAATTTCGACTTTTGAATTTTATAAATTGCAATTCAAATCCGAACCAAATTAAACTCGGATCTCAGATTTTTTATGTTTGAATCGGATAAATATTTCAAATTTTGGTTCGGATTGTATACCTTATTAAGATACTAAAATAAATAATGTTAAGATTCTATCTCCTAAATGGAGTTAATTTGTATCAGATTCGATATCCAAAAGAATTAAATTAAAGATCAAAAATCCGATCCAAGCCAATCCAAATAACAGGAATCGGTTCAAATTTTCGGTTTGACCCAAATAATGCACAACTCTAGCATAGGCTAATCCAGAATTTAACTCCATGGTTTCAATCTTTAAGCTTTTAGCATTAAAATTGTAACTATATTTTTATAGTTATGAGTTCGTATCTAAGTATTTGTTATAATTTTAGTAAATTTTTACATATAACTAAATTTTTATTACGCGTAAAGAGGACTAGATTCAGACGAACCCAATACCATAAATCCATATTTTGAAGTTAGTTTCATAAAAAAAATTCTTTTTAATTATTTTAGAAGATTTTTGGAGATCAAACCATGAAGAAATAAACAGAGAAGATGTAATATGAAGTGCAGTGCAACATTAGTACTCCAAGGGACAAAGCATGCACCGGCTAGGCCTGAGTTACATTATTTATTCTTAATTAACATTAAGTGAAACGTACACAACATGCAGGGTACATATGTAGTCCCTGCCTTAGTACCTGTTATACACCACTTAGTTTTATTAGAAAGCAGATTTATGATCATGCTTCGGCCTTTCCATATCCGCCTTGCTTTATGAAAACAAAGGCCTTTGCATTCTCTGCGAGAACCAAACGATTATATCCATTTTCCTCGGCAATGCCAACATTTTGGCATTCTCCAAAGGGACAGAAGACTATCTTATACGTTGAGCCACCAAGAGACATAATTTGAAACCAGCTATTCAACTCTAGGGGATTTCCCGGCGTTGCACCTGTGCTTATGGTGTAGCGACTTGGAAGTGTAGGGTAGTTGTCTACTTTCCACACAGTTAGGTTAGCACACTTATAATAATCAAGATAAAACTGGATGTTTACTGAAGAGGCCTCCACAATCTTCTCATGTTTGGGGTCTTTAGGTATGAAGTTGACTGCTTTACCTGTCATGAAACATATAATATAACTAAAATCATCAAAAAATTGCGCTCCTTTTATACGAGATGATCACATATTAATTAAAATACATAATTGAACAGTACCTTTGTCAACTTCACTGCGTGATAGCACCACCGCTGTGGCACAAGCGTTTTCGTCTTGATCTCCAAGATTAGCAAGCCGTACACCACCACCGCCAATAACTGGAAATATGAAGTACCTGGCTTTTACTTGAAGGGGGTTACCATCTATATCGTGTACATCCCTCAATAGTGCTTGGTTTGGAGTATCAGTGGTGCAAGTTGCCATCGCTGACAAGGGAACTAATGCAAGAGAAAACAAGAGTAAGATGATCTTTATTTTTGGTTTTTCTGTTTCTTGAGTTGAATATGTGAAATTTGTTTTGGATGCTTTATTCGTTCCTGCTAACGTTGAATTTATAGAGAAGAAATGTGCCATGATATTATTCTTCCAATGTGAACAATGTGTGTTTATGACATTATTGTCATTTTCGTTATGTTTAGCTAAAAAGTTGTTTAATCCTTCTCGAGCATAAGCAATAACTAAAATAAGGGTCAATCATAGCAGATCGTAATAAATGACCGAAAAGGAAGAAATATGAAGACAAAACACAAAATTTATGGTTAAAATGGACAAGAAAGAAAGTTTTATTATAGATCTTTGTCAAGATGGTCTGGCTCTCCATGGAGAGGTTCAGAGCCTTAGAATACTATCCTCTTTCTTAAAGATTCTTTATTTTTTGGAGAAGAAGAAGCAGCCCCCCTTTTAGGGTTTTCTCTCTTTGTATTTATAGTTGTAACTCTAGCCAGCTGGCGTTGGATGGTCGTGGTCACATCGAGGGGACGGGTAGGCCGTAGCCTCCTTAATTGAGGTGGATAATTACCAGAGGAAGCTGTTAGCCGATAACTATACCATATTAGTTATAAATAATGTTTTGAGAGTGATTAATCATATTAATAATTATAGAGTCGAACTCTGACCCATACAGATAGTCCATCTGCTTATTGAGGTCGTGCCCTGGCCGAGCTCAATGAGCGGACTATGCCGCTTATGTCTTAAACTTGGAGGTGAAGGTCATGTACGGCCTTCGTAGGACGGTCGTAGTTGCAGCGAAGTCTATGGCTGGAGGTGGATTTATAGAGGTGGGTAGTGGCCTCGTTCTTTCAGAGATGCCGACCGTAAGAGCGTGAGGGACGGCCGTAGCCATTAGTGTAATTCAAGGCGGCCGTAGCTGTTAAACCGTTTTTGCTTTGGAGATGGTTGTGCTTTCATGACATTTCTAGAGACGGGCGTGGTCGCTGTTCGTTCAGAAAGGGCCATAGCTAGATATTATTTTCAAAGACGGGCGTGTCCGTTACTAACCTGGAACTGACCGTAGTCAGGTACCACCCTTTCAGAGTCGGCCTAGCCAAATACTGCCTTTTCAGAGACGGCCGTAGCCAATGCCGTTCTTTAAGACAGGTCATTGCTAGTCATATGTGTGTGGCGTGGGTATAAACTTTGATCAAATACAGATGTGGTTGGTGCCCTATGCCCACTGCTACAGGGGTTGTATTTCTGGCGTTTCGAAGAATCGTTGCAAATCGCAACCGCGCCAAAGACGACGTATCGTTTCGACGGTAGGGGGACTATTCAGTAATGCTTCGTCATAATGGCGTCTGTTACAGCAGATCTAAATCGTTTTGCAGCTAGTCATGTCATTAATGATGACCTTTGGGATTCGTGAAAACCGTTTTCGATTTGTTTATAAATTGGGGATTCTCAACATTCATTTCTCACTTTTCCATATCTACTTAAGCAAAGCTTCTGAGAAAATTAATTCTTCTTTTCTCCTGATTTTCTTACCTTCTATTCGTCGATATCTCTACCGGCATTGTCAGTCGTTTGATCTTACTTTTCTCTCGTCACCTCAGTGATCTTTCTCTGGTTTTTCTCGATATTATAACAAGAATGGCGTCTAGTTCTCGTTCTGGTGCTACTCCGGTGACTATTCCGGCGTTGGAGGGGTCTTCTATGGCGGTTAGGGCCACCATTTTGGCAGATGCCAACAGGCTTCCGTCGGTGGCTGACATACTTTCACTTCCCGGGGGTCCGACGACCGATTTCTCCGAAGATGGAGGTAGGGATTGCGTGGACGAGGCCCCGCTGATGGGGGGAGATTGGCATGAGCTAGTTGAGGACTCAGTGTGACATTCCCAGCTACACTGATATTGTTCTTGCTGCGAGTGGGGAGAGGGTGCATGTTGACCGCAGAGGCTACTGCGTCTATTACGTGTATCCTTTCAAGCTGGGGTTCAACCTTCCCCTTCCAATGCTGGCGGTAGGTTTTTGCCGCCATTAGAGGGTGTGCCCTGGCCAGCTTGTCCCCTCATACTATAATTTGTTGGCCATGTTGATAAAATATGCGGAGCTTGCACGGAGGGAGATTACCTCTAGGCACGTACTCACTCCCTACGCCCCACAAAGAACTCGAGGTACTATGATTCGGTTGGTCCCTCGTGGGGCCAATGGCCTGACTGCGGAATTGACTTATGAGGTCGATGTCCGTCCTTTTCCGCACTTTTTCTATATTAGGACTGAGCACTTGGTGGCCTGTGCAACTGATTTTCCTGAAGAATGGAACCATGCACGTAAGTTTTCCTTGTGTTATCTTTCATTATCTTTTGGGCGCATGTCTTGTGTTATAAACTGACGTTATTATTGTGCTGTAGCCGGGGGCCTTCCGCCAGCGCTGTTCTCTGGGATCCGTGAGTGGGTCGAGGTTGTGCTTCCCATTACAGCAGGAGTACGTACGTGGGAATCTTTCTGGGCGGCTCATGGCCGCAGGTCATCTGCTAATGAGTATTTTTGCTTGCAGTGTCATTCCTTAGTTCGCATTGTTCAATTTCTTCTCTAACTCTTTTCTTTTGGGTGGTTAGGGCAACCTCGTCGTGTGAGGGCTCCCCAACTTGCCTTTTGAAGGCCGGGGGCGACTTTTCGGTTGGTTGCAATACCGGCCCCTCGTCCAGTCCCAAGGGCGGCCTCAGTCGAATCTTCAGCGGCTCCTCCTCCCCGTGCGGCCCGTGCATAGAGTTGTAGAGTCTTCGGGGATCGTATGTCCCAGGGCGGAGTTGGTGCCAAGTGAGGATGAGGAGGAGGATGAAAAGCCGCTCGTTCGACGCAGGGTGGCATTCAATCCATCCCTTCCAGTGGTTATCAGTTTTGACTCCCCGCCATCAGAAGCGGAGGGAAATGCGGTGGAGCTGACTTCAGAGGGAGGTCGTTCGTTGGGGGTTGCCCAGGTTGGCTTAGGCCATGTTGATACTGTCGCTTTGGCGATACAAATTTTAACTCCAGTTGCTGAGAGGGAAGGTGGTTCCTCAGCAGCTGTGTTGGTGGAGGAGACGGCCGTTCAGGCTGTGATGGATGTTGCTGCTCTTACTTCTCGTGCAGCGGAGGCCTCGACTTCCAAGGCAGTGGAAGGAAGGGGCGTCTTAGGTGAATGGGATGACTCAGAATCTGACCTGGATCCTGAGGACGTCGGTTTGTTCCAAGAGGGCTTTACTCGGCCCGTGGTGCCGGCGCAGGGGAGTTTTTGTTACATTCAGATCCCCAATGACCAAAATTTGTTGCTCCAGGAAGAGAACCTGGTGACCCTTTTTGAAGTAATGAGTTCTGAGGCGGAGAGCACGTCCACGCGGGGCATTTCGGACGTCGGTTTGATGGGCGAGGTTGCCTCCTAGTGCATAAAGGTACGGCGAGTCGTATGTCAATTTTTCTCTTTAGCGCCTTTTCCTTATACTGACTTTTATTCCATTTATTGAAGTCTTTTGTGATGGAGGTGGAGAGCATCCGTCGAACCAATGTCCGCTCGGCGGTCTTTGTTCGTTTGCTGGAGAAGTATAGCCATTCCCGGGACCGATGCCGTGAGATGCGTGAGCGTCTAAGGAACGATCCCCGGAGCCGGGACCTGGTAGAAGAGTTGGCAAGGCGGGAGCTTCAAATGCAGCAGACTCTTGGCAGGGTAAACACCCTTAAGGCGCAGCTCCGTCAAAAGGACAAAGAGATGGAGGCTGAGAAGAGGGCTGCCGCTGATAGAGAGCGCCAGACTCAGGCAGCATCTATAGAGGTCGCCGAGGCTTTGACCGGGCAGACGGTAGCTTTGGAGGTGGAGGCTGTTGCTTTGAGGCAGCATTTAAGGGACGCCCTGTCGAGGGCCAATGCATTAGATGCGACGATCAACATTCATGAAAGGGAGCGGAAATTGGAGAGATATGGTGCAGCCTTCAGAGAGGCGGAGCTGGAGGGCCGCATTGGCGTTCATGAGTAGGATGCCCAAGATGCGGCAGACCAGATTGCGACCTTAGAGGCAGAGAATCAACAAAATGCCCATGTTGCAGCGGACCGGATTGCGGCTTTGGAGGCCGAGAATCAATGCTTAAGGGATCAGGCTGCCGCTTTTGGCCCTATACGAGACCTTTGGACTTTCGCTGAAGCTCAGCTTGATGTGTATAAGAGGTTGTTGGAAGCCGGCATTATTCCTGTGACTGCCTAGGACGAAGCTCGCCAAAGGGCCCATGACGCCCGTCTCGAATGTGGCTTTGATCCATCCACTCCTGGGGTTGAAGATGGCGCCGAGGGCGCAGATAATGCTGATGATGGCGTCGGTGGTGCCGAGTAAAAATGAAAAAAGTTTGTGAAGTTTGTTTTTGTTTCTCCTTTTTTCTCTTTTTTTTGTTGTTTTGGTTGGCCTTGGGCCGTTTGTACCTGGGGGTAACCCCTTGTGAATATTTATGAATATATGTGATTTCCTTCTTTCATGTGTTAGTGTCGTATATCTTTTTGTTCTTTTCGCATTCACTTGAGCAATCTTGCCTTAGAATTTTTCTAGTGGGCATGTAAATGGCCTTGGACAGTTGGGTGATTTCAATCGTTATCGAGTTGATTTTGACTTAGTCAAAGATTAGGTTGGCTATTAGCGTTGACGGTCTTGGCCGTGATTAGACGCTTTTAATGTAAGTTGTTGCCCAAGTTTGGCGGTGGCGGCACATGGCCTTAGTCCCTGTTTGGGCTTGGTTAGACTACTGGCTGCGGTAATGAAAGGCGCGGCCTTGTAGTTTAACCTGGGCCGAACTTCATGTAGGTAAGAAACTTTTCAGCTCGAGTTAGTCGTACTTACTTGAACAGTGGGGGCCCATGGCCTGAGTTCGAGTCCGACCATGATCGAACGCTTTGGGGGCGTCATGCCTTATTTGTGGTTTGGCTCATAATTGTATGGACGTTCCCCCTCGTCTTGGACTCGGCCTAGGCTGAATTTGGGCCTTAATCTAACTCGTAGTTGATATTTTAGCTGGCCTGAGTTTGAGTTCCA